TTTAATGAGCTTGGAAACACAGCTAAATATTTTCTTTCATAAATTCAAGAAAAAGCCATACCACTTTGGAGACTTCTGCTGGGCAGCTTGTTCTCCTCTCTCTTTTCCTCTTTTAAATTTTAAATATTGCATAGGAACCATTTGCTCTGTGAGGTTCCCATAGTTAGGACCAAACCCTTCTCAGAGGAATTTTGGCACCTTATTAATTAGTCGGTTATGAGAAGGAACTGCACTCTTTCAGTGACTCCTATTTTGCCATCAGTAAAGTGTGATCCCGTAATAAATTTCCATCAAGCAAACTATTTCTGGTAATTCCCCCTAATTAACACCAGACTGCTAATAATAAATTAGGCCCTATGTGTTTCTGATATAACCAAGATCTTGTCTGAACACAAGATATTAACCAACGTCCCGAGAAAGTAAAACTCAAACCTAAATTAAGCCTTTGCTGGTAAAAGGATTTATATGCAATTTTGTGAGAAACTCTTTGAAGATCTCATACAGGGCATTTTGACCAGCAAACATTTTGAGTGACAGAGAGATTTGTTCTGTGCTGAGCAGTGAAAGTGGATTTATTGTGAAAACACACGGTTGAGTTTTAAGCCTATAAATCTTACACTGGATTACAGTGTCTTAATGAATGAATGACAGATCTCTTTTTTTTTTTTTTTTTGCCGGTGCATTTTAATGCTACATGACGTTGTGATTGATAGAAACCAAACCTTTGCCATTAAAATGTCAAATGCAGACTTGATGCCTTTAAAAGTTTGGCTTCTGGAGTTTAATATACTGTTTGCAAATAGACTCGCGTTTGTCTTGTTCGTAGCCTAAACACTGAAGGGGAGGCAAGCTTTCTGTAAAGTTGCCTCTAAATTTTATAGAGCTGTGTGCAGTGTTTTCCTTTCCTTGTGTAAATAAAGGTAGAAAACAACGGTGCATTTGCCTAGTTAAGAGATACTCAGCTAAGGAAGGTCTTACCAGACTGGTATTATCATAGAGTAATTGGCCATGTTATAGTACACCGTTGAGTATCCCATGGGGAAAGCAGAGACTGCTGCATGCCATGGCTCAGTACGGGATCAGGTAATACTTGCCAGAGCAGGTAGGATTTCCTTGGACACACTCAACTTAAGAAAAATATTAAACACTTCTAAACAAGCATTGCAAAGTATTCTAGTCGGGCGGTAGAATGAAGTAAAGATAGCGCATAAATAGTAATTGGCCAATGTTGAGTTTTACGTTGTTACATATTCTACTGTGTTCAACACCATGTTTCCATCTTTCATTCCATCCTGAGAAAAGATGGAGAATTAGAAACCCATTGAACTTGGAAGAGACCTTGGGAGATCATCAAACCTTGTCTAGCCCAAGAGCCATGCCCAGTTGGGTTCCGAGTACCTCCAAGGACAGAGACTCTGCTGTCTCTCTGGGCAACCTGTGCCAGCATTTGACCATCCTCACAACTGTCCTGTCACTATGTACTACCGAGCCAAGTCTGGTTCCATCTTCTTTACTCCTCCCTCCAGGTATCTGTACGCGTGGATGACATCCCCCTCGAGCCCTCTCTTCTCCAGGCTGATCAGTACCAGTTGTCTCAGCCTCTCCTTCTGTGACAAATGCTCCAAGCCCTAAATCATCTTCCTGGCTCTTCACTCCAGTACATCCATATCTCTCTTGTACCGGATACAAGAGAAGAAGGATCATCTCCCTCGATCTGCTGGCAATGCTCTGCCTAATGGACCCCAGGAGGCTGGTGGTCTTCCTTGTCACAAAGGGGACTTCACTAGCTCATGGTCAACTTGATGCCCACCAGGACACCCAACAAACAACTCAAGTGATTTCTCTTCATGTGCACAATCATGACTTGCTTTTGCTGACTATAATCCAGAAAAAGAAAACATCCAACAACCACAAAACAACAGAGGACAGACAGAGAGCTTGGGGTTTTGCATTGGGTTTGTTTGTTTTGTATTTTAATTATAATTAAATTTGCAAATGTGAACAGCCAAAATTTGATGCCAAAGACTACTAAACACAAGCAAGGAAATCACCAGGACCTCACAGCTGGTTGTTTAGCGTAAAACAAGTAAAAAAAAAAAAAAAAATAAATTCAAACAAGTAATCTGTGAATTGATATATTTCCCCTTCTTACTCTTGTTTGCAAAGCCACTCAGATTGCAAGCAGCCCCATGAAGAAACGGGTACACAACTGAACAGACCACCACAATGAACCACAACTCAACTTTTGCTGTTAAGTTTATTGCATTGTTATATTAAGCATTTATATTTACACATAATTCTGAATTATTTAGTTACGATATACTGAAACTGTCATCAGGATTCCATTATTCACTTATAAAGACCTTCTACCTTCAAACAGAGTTAAACCCAATTCTCTTACAGGCACAGTTTTGGAAGAAAGTCATTATTGACTGAAAATGCATGCAAAAAAACTACAGTAGTTCGGTTACTAACATATCTCTCCTGACTTTTTAACATTCCCTTAAAACATGAACGCTATACACTGTGTTGTACGAAAAATAGTTGGGAATCTCATTAAATCCCCCTGATGAAGCCAGAACGGTGCTGATTTTTGCGGTGTCAAGTCTGCAGTCAAATATACGTATGTATATATGCATTTATACAGATCTCTCAATGTACACACATATGTGTACATGTATAGAGAAGTACATATAAATATACATACACACACTCGCACATCAAAATATTCTAGAGGTAAATATGCAGGATTAAAATTAAACAAAATACAAATATACCAGTATGAAATAGTCCTAAACAACAACAACAAAAAGGTAATAAATATTCAGTGAGATATATGGCATTGTTATAAAGTGCTCTACTAAAATCTCACTTATTAAAATAACAATAACAATTATGTTCCTTTTAGTTGATTTATATAATTTGGTAGAGCCATTAAATATTCATTATGTAACAGTGACTCTATGCTTCCTTTTACATTTTAAACAAATCGATAAAAGCAGAAATTAAAAAGCAAAGCAGCTAAATGAAGCAGTACTACTAGATCCTTCCAGGCTTTTGTCCTCAACTTCCTTAAAAACTGCAAAATTTCCAATCCTAGAGCAGATGGACTAAGAAATATAATTTCTATGGAAATTATGAAACTAAACAAAATCCGCTTTGATTAAGGACCCTGACAAACTGAAGAGTTTCTATCCTACTTTAAAATATCAAGGTTTGAATTGCAGAAATTACCAAATGCCTTATCCTGTGCATTCCTGTCCCCTTTCCTCACACATGTGCAATACAGCTCCACTGAAACCTACTCTCCAGGTCTCATTTCTCCACATTTCCACCTAATTTCGAAAGCAACCCAGCTCATATATTGACACATCTTGTCCAGTCTGCTTCTCTGTTTCTGATTTTCAGCCAGATTCACAAAAGGGTACATCTACAAGAGTGTAAACATTTTAAACAGCTTTGTGCCATTTCTTCCGTACCACCAAAAGTTATAAAAGCAACCTGGTAGTATCGAAGAAAAATAACTTCAGGAAATAAAGTGAAACAGCTCACAACGTGAACCTGTCTTGCTGAATTAATAAGAAAGCCAGATATCTTTTCATATTTCAGTACAGCAATTTGGGTTTTATTTCCCTGTCTTTTGTTGATTTTTTTTAAATACATTTTCTTTGTTACAATTGCTTTAGTCAACTATGACAATTTTTTTGTTATTTTCCTCATGATTTTATGGACAAAGTATCAGCAAAAAAAAAAAAAAAAAGAAGAAAAGGAAAAAAAAGACAACCACAATAAAACCAGTTAATGGTTATTCTTAGTGTCTACTGGTAAGAGCGCTAAAGACTAACACAATTCAGCTCTGACATCCCAGTAGAATTAACCAGCATAGGAATTCCGTTTCCTTCGGGAATCTGAGCCAGCCCCGAGAGGGCCCCCTTCTCTGTTGTGCAACTCAGCTGGAGCAAAATTCACCCCATGTAGAGGGTCACCACCTCTTCCCTATCTGCCTACAGTTGCTCTGTACCTAATTTGAAGTTAAGTGATATTTAGCTGGTGCACAGCTAAAAATCCTAATAGCTGAGCAAGAAAATAACTTTTCGGTACGCTGCCTGGCACACCACCAATATACATATTCATGAGCGACATGGTAAAGAACGTACTGAGAGAAAAATAATGTCCTAAGTTGCACTTCAGCAGTTTCCCTCATTCAACACCAGAGTCTCACATTCTGGATATAAAACATGGTTACTTGCAGATTCTATGCGATTTCCCCTTTGCAAGGAACTTAAAACTATCTAAAAACCTAAGCTGCAAACATAAAGAGGATAACCCCTCACTCCCTTATTTTTAAGATCTGATCTGACATCTCCATCTTGTCAAGCGCACCTTCACTAGCAGGTTTTTTTTGGCTAATGTTCTGGTAGTACATGAGTTAAGGAAGAATATCCCATTTGTGTTTTTCTCTAAGTTGGCATCTTCTGCACTATTGTCCTTACCCAGCATAGCTACCACCCTATGAACTGCTTTGTAAAAATCTCTGTTCTTTGCAGACCCATCAGAGATTTAACTGCCAATGGCGCAGGTACATGCATTTGTGCAGGAGGCTTCATGTAGACAAGTATCAGAGAAAAAAATCAGTTGTTGAACTATATATTCCATGTAATCTTATCTTTGCTTTTAATTCCCATTTAATGGAGTTTAGAGGCAATACTTCTAGACACACTTTAGAAAACATCAGAGTAATAAAGTGATCTGGATCGCTGGACCCAATCTCCTTTTATTTCTTCAATAGCAGCAAAAGCAAGACTTCTAACATCAGGTATTTATTTTCATAGATATTTCACTTCTCATTCTGAAGCAGATATAAATGTGGTCATAAAACCATTAAACCAGTAATGTGCCAAATAGAGAGGTAAAGGCACTCTAATCGTTTGGCTTGGGTGCAATTCCTGATTCCTATCTTTTTATGAAGCAAAACCGTAACTGATAAATGCTCTAAAAATTAGCATACAGCCTCCCCTGCAAGTTTCCACATTTCTCTTCAATTTTTAGAAAATCATATATAAATAATTTTAACCCATCATTGAACACACACATACACACACACAATACACATTTTAGCCTTTCTTTCTGCTCAGTACATTTGTTACACAAGATGAGCTCCGAGCATCAGATGTTGATAGAGTGAGCATGTTTCTTGCACAGTGGCTTGTCCTTCTTGGAGAAGAAAGTCTGACCTTCCAAACTGTCACTACACACCTGAAATGGGATTTAAAAAAAAAAAATCAGATGGACGAATTACACCATACATTATTCAGAATGCCAAATCATGGCATTGTTCTATATACAAATATATTCAAAGAATAAGAATTATTACCTTTTTCTTAGGTATACTGTTTTCTAATGTAATACTAATGGTTGATGTAAGCATTTAAAAAAAAAATAGCCCATCATTAACACTGGGGGTTTTGGTTTTTTTGGTCATAAAATATTAGCAGGTGGTTGGCTACAGTGTCTTTATGTCAAAAGCATTCTTGCTGCTTTAGAAACCCAGCCCATTCCTGCGTGGCCTTCAGCGCTTGCATCAAGGGTTAAATGCCAGGACATACGGCTGCAATCCACGCCAACTCCTCTGGACCCGTGCCAAATGCTCACAATAGCAACACACCTTCCAAATAACTGGGAAAGTGCTTTCTGTTTGGGCTCAGAGGATTGAAAGAGGTTTTAGCTGTTAACTCCCACATCGGTCAGGTTAGCACACGCGCTGCGGCCGTTGGTTTGTTTAAAACGCAGACCAGCTTTACTTACCGAGCATACAAAGCAAGTGTCATGCCAAGTGTGGCCCAGGGCTTCAAGAAACCTGTCTCCAGCTTCGATGGGGAATTCACAGCCATGGCACATAGTACCAAAGAGGGCATAGTAATCTGCAAACAAACACAAACAGATTTGAAAGATGAAGCATAAGCAGAAAAGTGAGGCTGACCCTTTGAAACCTTTGTACTTTTGACGGCAGTGGGTTTGCACTTGTTGAGTTTTATAATACTGGGTACTACACTGAATAAAGAGCTCCTAGATTGAAGGACTGGGATGCCCTGTTCTCCTTGCTAATTCAGTTCTCCTTCCCTGTCCTTTCAAGCGAGCAATGCTTCCAACCTTCCTGGTGTTTCATTTCCTCCAGATCAACAGTGCGCTCGGCAGGGAAACGCACTTCTTGCAGAGCACTCGTGAGGGCTCTACTTGTTCCTTACATTCTCCGTGGCTCTGCCTTGAAAGCATCCCCTGGCTGGTCACAAAACAGACCTCCTCAGCAAGTAACTAACTCCCTGCCTACGTACTGGCACAATATTTGCCCCAGACTGCAGTACACAAATCGTACAATCTTTACACTTCTGTCCTAAGCAGAGTCTAGCAATTTGGATCAAGTCAGAAGAGTTTTCTAGTCATTGGAGTTTATTACACATCTAGATATCTTACAGAAAACAGAAAATACAGTTCCAGGTATACAGAACAGCTACATAAGATCCGACATTGAATTGCAAAAGTACAAGTCTAAAAAAAAAAAAACCCACCCCCCCCAAACCAAAACAAACCCCCAAAAAACCCACCCCAAAACCAAACACAAAAAAACCCCAAACAAAAATCCCCAAACAAACAAAAAAAGCCCCCAAAAATAAACAGACAAACAAACAGAAAACCAGAAACAAGCCAGAGGCTTTAGCCAGTGTATTTATTCCGTTTAACAAAAAGTATCAGCAGCCTGTTAGGATGGTTATTGGTGACTGCTATCACTGAAGGGTATTGGCACCACTTATTTTTAGGCACCGGGTTGACCTGGTGTCTCTGGAGGCTCCCCTGGAAAAGGATGAGAAAAGCTTCTCCAGCAGTCTCAGAGAGCAGGGAGCGTGTCTCTGGAGGCTCCCCTGGAAAAGGAGGAGAAAAGCTTCTCCAGCAGTATCAGAGAGCAGGGACCAAAACCAAGGGCACCGAACTGTTCATATTCCCCATTGACTGCAGAACTTGAAAAAGAGAGAGCACAGCAGCCTAGCAGAATAAAATACACGTACAAAGTTGGGTGGGAGGCACTGACGCTCACCCTCATCCCCATGGTCTGCGTGTGACACTCGCTTCTCTGGGCATGGAGCCATCTCAGGGGCTACAAGCCACCACAGCCCTCCGTTGCCCACCTGTGCAAACCTAATTTAGCTAGTCTTTTCCACTTATTTCAACTCTCATACACCCTGTTCTAAGAAAGAAATGTTGGTTTCTTTTTTTTTTTTTCCTGCACAGAAGGCAACAGCACTAGTGCTGTAACACGCAAGAATTTGGGATCAGCATGCTGCCGTGCCAAACACATGTCACGCAACATTACATTTTCTTAAGATGAACTACAGAGGGACAACCATAATGAAGCTTTGGACTTCATCCTTACTAGTAACATTCTGGCTCTGACAAGGAAATTAGATGTTGGGTTGTTTTCAAAGAGCCTTATAAGGAGGGGCAAGGGGTGTACAAGGAGATTTTGTTTCTCTACTAGATTATACAGATATGCTAAAGCTTGAGTGCTCACTGCAGCAGAGCCAACAGAGGCTAACCACATGTGTCAAGCCCAAGGGAAGAGTCCTGTTTTGGTTTCCTAAGACAGTATTTTGTACGATGGCCTCAAAAAGCATCACCATAGGAGGCATCTCAGCAGGATGGCAAACACAAGCACTCTGGAAAAGCAAAGCCCTTGATGGCTGCCAGTGGCAAGAAACAGCTTCACCCATCGCCTTCATTAATCCATGCTACTGGCATGAATTTGTAAGTGTTTAAGAAAGACAATAAAAATGTCAAATGATAGAACACCTCTGTCCAAAACCCCTGAAGGACACAGTCTCATGACCATACTGTTTCAGCTCTTAGCATTCGTGTTCATACAGAATCTTACTGGTATTTTCTTCCTGGTGCCAGTAGTTAAAGCCTTTTGTAAGTTGGCCTGTGGTTTGTGTTGATAAGTTTATCGGCTTTACTTCTGAACAAAGGGCAATAGATAAGGCAGAATAAAGGGCACCAGCTTTCTTTTGCATGCTTGAATTGTGATTCCCCAGAAGCCATCTAAGACAGACTTCTCAGAGAGTCATATATCTCTGCTTCCTGCACACAGTATTTTCAAAAGTAGGTTACTAACTCTGCACTTAAAAAAAAAAAAGGTCAAAGTTGTAGATATCTGTGCTTTTAATTTAATTTTAGCATTGACATCCAAAAGCAGAACATTTTGCAAATTAAACCCCCTTAATACTAATAGCTGATGCTGTTACAATTTCAAATACAGATTTAAAATTTCCTTCTTTGCACTAGGAAGAAGGAAAGTTGGCAATGACATTCCCTCTTTAGTTCTTTAAAATTAGTCATACTCTTAATTCCAGCTGGACTGAAAGTCTTTGAAGAATGAATATATCTCAAATTAACATCTAGTTAGAGAGCCAGAGACCTTACAACGTATCACTGCCAATAACACCTAGCAGAATGTGTCTACATTAACTCGTGCTAGCAACTTTCTGTTGCAGAAATAAACTTTGTGAGAAGTATAATATTCTTGACACTTTATTGCAATGTTTTCTGCTCACAGTACCACAAAGTGTGCATTTGTATACAGGAGTCCTAACAGTAGCCCAAATCAATGCACCGCACAGCAGGCGGGTTATTGGGTGGCAGGAACAAGAATTCAATATTAGCAGAACAAACCTGGTGTCGTGAGCTTTCCACCCAAAGGGGAGTTTATCGATTCCTCCAGTACTATTTTTGAATCATCAAATGGTTCCAGGATTAGGGGCTTCAGATTGCTGGAGGATGAAATTTCACCATGCTGTCACACTGGAGGATGCTGCTCAGATATCCTTTTCCTCCGCTGCTCCATGAATTCAATAGGAGCAACACATTACCCTGCTCATGTCACCAAGTTACCAATAACTTCCTGCGTCCTTTTGTCTTTGCCAACACCTCATTAAAGCTACTCTGACAGTGTTTGGATAAATTTTGCCTGCTTTCCTCATCCTTTCTATACCTAGCACTCTCCACTGCACCTGCTGTGAAAAACTGCGATCAACCCAGAAGGAAATCTCAGCTCCAAACAGGTCCCTAGGATTTCATGCGAAATCTCTTCCTGGTCAATCCACTTCCACCTCTAGTTAAACTAGAATGTTCCTTGCTGTAGAATGTAGAACACATAAGAGGTCTCACCATGTAAGCAGTATGCAGTGTGGAAATAGACAATTTTGACACAATTTTGTTTCTTTTCCATTTAGTGGGGATTGTTTTACAAATACTATCTATTTCTTTCCTAGCCCAGGAGGGTACAGGAAAAGTTTCAAGCAAACTAGGAGAACAACATAAATAAAAACTGCTCATATTAATGAAAAAAGATACCATTAGCTGAAAGTGCTAAAAACCTCTGAACTTCTAAGCTGCATCTTTCATGCAATATTGCTCACCAGGCTTTCAAGTGCTATAGTGGTATCACTGTATTTTTCCCCTGACAGCCCATTTTTGGTTTTTTTTTTGTTTGGTTTTTTTTTATCACAAGCTTATGTTCCACAGATGTTATCCCTGATCTTGCAAAAAACTTCCTGAGCCAGACTGCTTACCCTTGGAAGTCCCTCTCAGCTGTGAATAAGGTTATTCAGAGTAAAACACATTACTCCACTGGCATTTGCTTGTTTAGTAAATAAGTAGATTTACATAAACGCCAGGTTATTTTAAAGTGAAGCAAGTCACCCTAAAATTAACGCTTTGCTGTATCACTGATACCTAGAGCTGAGGGCTTAACAGGAACAAGTAAATCCAGCGAGAAGCAGCCTGCTCCTGCCAAAGCCAATGAAGAAATTCTCAACAACTTCTGCTGCTGCAGCAATCTACAGCATTTGTTGCTGCTTTGAATTGACATATCAGAGGTGTGTGAGTTTGCTGGGACACTTGTTCTTGAAGCGAAGCTTAAGAAAACAGAATTATTCTTTTTTTCCAACCTCATTAAGCTCAACTTCCCCACACAGCCACAGCAGACGCTGGTTGTGTTACTTCTTACCCGTCTCACAGTAGGGATCGCCGTCTTCTAAGTGGAAGACATTATTGCGGATGGGGTTGTGACAGGCCACACACACAAAGCAGGAAACATGCCAAGTTTGTTTCAAGGCATTTATTACTTCCTGTGGGGATTAGAAGAAGTGTTATTAACACATTATTTTGATGTGATGACTAGATTGTGGTGACCGTGCCTCCACACTTGATTCGTTTCAAGAATACTTTGTTTCCTACTTTGCAAACGAGTTGTGCACGCAATTTCTGCTAATGTTAAACTTAACGAGGTGCTTTATTTATGGTACATCTCCTCATTTATCATAAACAACTTTTCATTTTTTGGCAGGTTCAGTGTAGAGCTGGAGAGATTTAACAACTCATTTATTCACCTTTTCCATTTTAATTAGGATCTCACCCACAACGGTCCCCTGAAAGAAGAAAAGAAGCATCTCCAATGTCTCCTCAAGTTTTGTGAATAGTTAATCAGAAGACATTACACAGAAAATTACGACTGCTTTGTGTTGTTTTGGAAGGCACTGTAGTGCCAAATACGACTTGAGAATTGTGCTGCCAGAGCCCTGTGTGACCCCAGTTACACAAGAGCCCAGACACATTGCTGTCTGCAGTAAAGCAGCAGACGATCAGCTGGCGGGCTCAAATTAGGAATATTAGTGCCGAGGAGGATAATGTGTCTTTCTATCTACATGACCAGTGGGAATACTTCAGTACTTCACATCGAGCCAACCAGTGTGTTCCTCAGTGCTCAGCTCAACTAAGGAGCATTATTTATTTTTCTCCCCCCTCCTGTAAAAAGCTGCCAATTGAAAGCATTTTGCTCAAGAAAATCTAGCAATTGCAACAGCTACAGAACAGCTTCATGGAAATAGGAGCTGAACTTGGAAGAGCCAAGGAGACTACAGCACCTCTTCTCAAAGAGACTGAAAAGGCTCAGCATTAGAAGAGCCAAAAAGATATTCTGTACGTGATGGGGGCTGAAAAGGAACGTCAGAGTATGTTTGGAAGAATGCCAACTGGGCCAGATAAAAGGGAATTTCATTTCAGAGAAACACTGAACGCTGTGGTTATTGTTCCCGCTGAAAAACAGGCTACTTGTGGGTCACTTACTCCAAGGATCTTCCTCTGGCACTTTGAACACTCAGGGGCAAAGAACTTCTCATAGCAGACCTCGCAGTACAGCACTCCTTTCTCTTCCACAAATCCAATGTAAGCCATGGAGGTTTTGCAGTGAGCGCAATTAAACTCCTCTGGGTGCCAGGACTTCCCCAAAGCCACCAAGAAGGGTCCTCTGATTAGAAAGAAGAGATTTTGTCAGCAAATGCCCCTGGCTTGGCTCCTGCAAAAGCTGTTTAAGAGGCTGAACCTACAACACCTCTGTGCCATCCCTACACTGTTGGCAAACACATACTGCTCCATCCCTCTTTCCTCCTACAGGCTCTGAGAAAGCACCAAGTGTTGACTACATCTATTCCCATTGAACTATCTCCCAGAAACACCTGACCACAACACATACTAATTCTCCTCGCTTCACCACATTTTAGAAATGTTATTTTAGAGTTACATTGAATACTGAAGTGCTGAAGCAGCTGATAGGGAAGAGAAGAAGAAGAAGGATGTTCCCTAACGTTCCGAATTATTTCCATCAATTGCAAAGAAATATTTGACTCAGTGACATGATCAACTGTCTTTCAGCATGCATTTGTATCAAGGCCACAAATATTCAAGTAGATTTGACTCCATTAAGGGCCGATAACATCAGTTTCTTGTAAGACAAAAATTCAGTCACTGTTCTTATCCAACAAGTTTGTTACAGGACAAGCCTTCTCAGTTGTTGGGGGATTCTTTTTTTTTTTTGTAGGGGGTATCTTTTTTTTTTTTTCCTTCAGAAGCTAGTTAAAATAGGGCCATTTTTTTCCAAATACGGAGACTCTTCTATTAGTTGCAAACACAAAATAAAAATGCTTTTAATAGCATTTGTCTGGTTAATGCAACAAGGTTAACAGACAAGATAAACCTGTTCATTTCTCAGTCAACAACAAATTCTCAGTTTATAACTCATAAATCCCAGGCATATACCATTGTATCTGTATTAATTTGAAAACATATTCAGCATGCTAATTTCTTTAATGAAGACATTTATTTTAATGAGGTGGCCTCCAAGGTCCCACCAACACTCAACCTTCCAGAACTTAGTTTTCAGGTGAACTTTGTGGTTCGTGATCCCGTAAGGATGCTGTTCTTTCAGTAATGCATCACTTTTTTCTGATCTAATACTTCACTGAAAAAAAACCCAAACATGTAAGGTACTAATATCACCACCTTGTTGCTAAATATTTTTCTGGAAATTGACTAGGAACATTTTTGTGCAAGATATGATTTTTTTTTTCATATGAACAAAGCAACAGCAATAGAGAAGAAAAAAAACCTTAAAATTTGCTTCCAGGGTTTTACTGACTCTATGACGGAATATAAGCCAGCAGAGGACAGAGGGCAACTTCACTCAGAGTAGGGGAGATGCTACATATTTTCAACAGGATGAGAAGTCAAAGATAAGGGACTCAAACAAATTTAGGACAACACCTTCTGAGACAACAAACATATTTCATCTGAAACAGTTTCTTCTATTCACCTCTGGTTATTGGAGAGAAAGCAGTGAAAAACGGCTCCTAGAGAGCAGCTCGTAGCCCTTTAAGGAGGGAGCCTGGGTTGAGCCCAGCTCCCTGGCCCCCACTCCCAGCGGATGCCTGAGCAGTGCAAACACTGACCTAACCCGATACCCTCCCGCTGCTCAACAAGCACCTTTTTACATCAATGCCCTTTCAGTTATGTACTGATCAAACAATACAAGCCCTCATGTACAACAAAGTGCTCTCAGCGCACCATGTCAGCACGGGCTAATTTCACAGATTCATTAACATGGGGCTGACACCGAAGAGGCTCTCCCGGCTCCAGGTAGGATTGAGTTTCTGGCCATCTGCACTGTAACGATAGGCTCGGTTAGCCCTGCAATGGAAAGCAAGTATGCTAGCGACAGGAGGGGAAGGAATTTTTTACAACATCTGCTGCATTTCGCTCTCCAGAGTTTACAGCTCTGACATGTTGAGGTTAGCCATGCAGGACAGCACGCAGGAGCCCCAACGGATGGGGAACAGCCTGAGAGTACATCTACAGAGTTTCTTTCCTCAAAGTTCCCAGACAGCTGTGGCCGTGCCCTGCACAATGTCTCCAAGGTGTTCCATTAGCAGGCTGGCTGCCTGCACACACGTGTCCAGAAGAACCCTTTTTAAATACAGTTTTACTTTTAATCAGGCCAGAGTTTAAACATGTCAAGCTGACGCTGCAACTTAATGATACCAGTGACTTAAAAGCTGCCCCAAATCATATGGAAGAAAGCAAAAAAAATAAACACCTGCCACGTAAAAATATACTCAAACATGATATTCAGAACTTGGAGGTGTTCCTGGTCTTTGCATATCTTTCCAATCGAAACAATAGCTTCCAGTAATGAGAGGCATTTATTTGCTGTATTCATCTGAAAAGGAGTTTAAAGCCCTGACTTGAGTAAGGGGGATGTGTGCCCACACTCACGCAACCTGATGGGAAGTAGCTAGGGCATGAAATGCTAGGGAGATGGCTGCAGGTAGCTTCATCCTTCCTTCCCCATTTAAAAACAAACAAACAAACAGAACCAATAAAAGAATCCCACATGCCTCTGTCAGCTAGAGCATTATTTTTAAAGGTGGTACTAAAAACCCATGTTCCTTCCATCCGAAGGCATGGGATGATCCAACTGGCAACAGTTGGCTTTGAATGTGCCTCTATCTCAGGCTGCTTTGTCATGCTCGGGATTTCTGAACAAGTTTCTGACATAATCATCTAGACCATGCGAACCAAACTCACAGATGGAGGCAAATAGTCAGAATTATTATTTAAGAGATTCTGATGTATTTACAACAGCATTTACAGAATCTTATGCCCCAAAGGATCACCAGGCACAAAAACTTGGTAGCCACCTAAAACATCTGGGTTCTGCATGTAGCAAAAATACAGGGGCAAACTGGAATGAGCAGTAAATAATGTACACAGAATTTAAGTGTAATTTCATGGTCTTTCCCCTTGTAACTAAATCTAACTTTATCAATATGGTATGCCAATAATCTAGCTTCTCATGTGGCTTTTATTACGATAGCAAGCTAGAACTGAAATTTGGTGGTAGAGAGATCAAAAGGATTTCCACATCTGCTAAGAGGGCCACTCACTTTACAGTTAACCATACAGCAGTCTGCACTCTGTAAGGTTTCTTCTTCTCCTCACTTGAAAACACCATGATATATAATTTTTCTGTAGGACAGGCTGAAGGGAAGCACCATTTGTACTTCTTCCTTTTTGCCTTTAAAAACAATCAAGCCATATGAAAAGGTGGCAAAGCCAGATCATCATTCACAAACAGATACGCCAAAGAGTATGTTCTCAATGAGGATCCAGAGAAAACACATTTGGACTACAACGGAACAGCCAACTCTGCACTGCAGCACTTGGTAAAACTGCTTGGGAAGCACAAGTCTTCATCAGGAAGTGCCAGAGGTTTGTCAGACTGTCACAGCAAGCAGATCATGGGAAATTTAGTCTGCATCCAGCTCCGATTCTTTCAGACAGGGAAAGGAAAGCCTACTGAATGAAGCTGTGGAAAAAACTGGAGTCTTCAGACAATCACTGTATGAATAATTAAAAATACATTAAAAAGTTATAAGATGTCTCTAAGAAGTGGTTTTGGCTCAATCAGACAGGGTTATTCTATGCCCAAGTGTAAAGTAACCAACTCTACAAGGCATTTTGGCTTCAAAACAGATGTACAATGCAATGCCACTTGATCCTCCTCCTACCTTTTCATAGGTAATGCCACCGCTAAGGGCATGAACTGTAATTATGTAAAAACTTGAATTCAAAATGCCATTGAAATCTTTCAAATCCACTGTATGCTGTGAACATGAGGCATCTTTGGCATTAATTAATGCATGTCAACTCATCCTCAAATCAAATTATCATTTAATAATTAAGGTAGCATTTAACATATGAACAGGTATAAGGATTTAAGCACCACCAGCAAATTACAAAGAAGTTAAATGTGGGTATCAGTTACTATTCATGAAGAAGTGTCACTTACAACAAGTGACGATGGCTTAAGTACTGTCAAGGAGGGCTCCACAGTCTGTCCTCATGCAGCCACTAAGGAGCAAAGGTTGCTCCACTGACTAACACACTCCCCTACCGACAGGGCAGCAGCTCATCTCCTTTTTAATGTGGGGAGTAGCAGCAAGTGATTTAAGGGCTGACAGGAGATGTTGGCTGCTCAAGAGTGATCTGTGGCCTGTGCTATGTTAATTTAAAAAAAAAAAAAAATGAAATGATGGTAACAGAAAGGAAAGTGCATGGTTGCTTCCATGTTATTTACTAAACACAAGTCACAAGCTCTTCACTGCCCAGGGAACAAAAAAAGTCAGAATACTAAAGACAGATAGGATGGTAATATAGGCCAAACTGCTTAATGAATCAGATGAATCTCATCCAAAAAGCGTGTAGAACTGTTTGATATTAATCTACGATTTTGCAGTGAAGCAAAAAAATCTGGATTAGAAAAGATGCACAGACACGCTGGGAATTTGCATATGTTCTTCCTATTGCTTCAAAGGGATTCAGATCATATATTTTTATTTCCTTGACATATACAATGGAAGTAGCAAAAAACTCTCCAAAACATCACTGAATAGTTAGCAAAGAGACTTATAAAATTAAACTGATTTTAACTGAACTGGTAGTGAACTATCAGAACAGAAATCTAATGGAAGTAAACAAGCTGGACCCAATTCATGCCTAGAGACGAATTGATCTGAGTTAGCTGCATCTTCTGACGCAGGATCCAAGCCAGGGCTCAAGTGGCTGTAAAAAGCCACGGTGGAAAGGCTGATTTTCTATTATACTGATTGAAATTTATACAGCTCATAGAGCTCCTAATTTTTCAGAGCTCATGTTTCTAATCAAATAAAGTATCTTTCTTTAACCATGGTGAAACATATGACTCTCCTATTTTGTTCACTGAAAACGGGACACATGAATGAAAAAATAAATATTACAATGCATTGCTTTCCCTTTGTAGTTCAACAACACAGATAACTGGAAAAGCAAGAAGAAAACATTTTAAAAGAATACATTTCTTCCAATCATAGATTCATCAGGTTGGAAAAGACCTTTAGGATCATGGAGTCCAACTGTAAACCTAACACTGCCAAATCCACCACTAAACCACGTCCCTAAGTGCCACATCTACACGTATTTTAAATACCTCCAGGGACAGTGACTCAATCACTTCCCTGTGCAGCCTGTTCCAGAGACTGAGAAACCTTTTGGTGAAGAAATTTTTCCTGATACCCAATCTAAACCTCCCCTGGCACAACTTAAAGCCATTTTCTCTCATCCCATCACTTGTTACCTGGGAGAAGAGGCCAGCACCCACCTCACTGCACCCTCCTTTCAGGCAGTTGTAGAGAGTGATGAGGTCTCCTCTCAGCCTCCTCTTCTCTAGACTGAACAACCCCAGCTCCCTCAGCCGCTCCTCATAAGACCTGTGCTCCAGTCCCTTCACCAGCTTCGTTGCCCTTCTCTGGACCTGCTCCAGCCCCTCAATGTCCTTCTTGTGCTGAGGGGCCCAAAACTGACCCCAGGATTCAAGGTGCGGCCTCACCAGTGCTGAGTACAGGGGCACAATCCCTGCCCTAGTCCTGCTGGCCACACTGTTTCTGATGCAGGCCAGGATGCCGTTGGCCTTCTTGGCCACCTGGGCACACTCCTATTCAGCTATCTGTTGACCAACACCCCCAAGTCCTTTTCCAAAGGGCAGCTTTCCAGCCACTCTCCCCCAAGCCTGTAGCATTGCAGGGGGTTGTTGTGACCAAAGTGCAGGACCCGGCACTTGGCTTTATTGAACCTCATACAACTGGCCTCAGCCCATCGGTCCAGCCTGTCCAGATCCCTCTATGGAGCCTTCCTTCCCTCAAGGAGATCAACGCTCCTGGCCCAACTTGGTGTCACCTGCAAACTTACTGAGGGTAATGTATTTATAGGAACATCTGTAATTGTCTTTTACAGCAGTAGCCAGATTAAATTCTAGTTGGGCTTTGGCCCTTTTAATTTTCTCCCTGCATAACCTCACAACGTCCTTGCAGTCCTCCTGGAGTGGCCTGCCCCTTTTTCCAAAGGTCATCCCAGGAAATCTCTATTTTAGAGAAGAAATAAAATGCAAGGTAGATGAAAATGAGGACGATTTGCACATTGACACAAAAAGTGATTGTAATTCCCTGGATGAGACAATCATGAATAATTGTCAGAAATCACTGACCAAAGAATGCAACTGACATTCAATTCTTCCTCCATATGAAATCCTGGCTAATGATAGGACATTTTAGGAGCTCAGCAGAATTTAACTTAATCTCATTTGGCAAAATTTGTTTGTGTTGCTTAATTGCTTCTACCCATGTCATACCAGTTAAGGACACCAGCTACCGTAATACCCAAAAGCCAGAGAGACCACCAAGGAGCTTGGAATCTAACATTGCAGGAAATTATCATTAATCCAGTCCTAGCAATTGTTAAACCTCTATTCCTTGCATTCCTTACACGGATGGAGCCTGCTATTTTTCTTCTTCTCAGTGAGAAATCCTGGTTTATAAATCAAAGTTTGTGACAAGTTAGTCTTTATAAGACTATACTCTCTCATTGGTTTCCAACTAGCTAACCTTCCCAATTTTATTGGAACGGGTGTATAAGGGAAAACTCACTCGCTTACTTTGCTTTGCTTTTACTTTTGCTCTACTCCACCCAGCTTTCTGGTTCTCTGTAAAACAGGTTGTAAGGCTGTGATCATTAGTAGTTCACAATGTTTTCCTCCATCATTACTTTCAGTTTTGTTAGATAAACCATGTGTGAAAACAGCGTTCTGCATTACTGAAATGAAGCCTTAAACCACTTGTGACTAAGGAATCAGAAACCACAAAAGCAAAACAAAGCCCTGCTGTCAGAGCGCCTGCAGGACGAACAGATACAAACCTAATGACTTGATTGCAGTGCGCACACATGGGAGTACGTTTTCCCGCTGGAATATGCTCTGCCCTCTGAACCAGCGTGTCTTGCTCATTTAGCTGAGGTGCTGTGGCAATTTTTTCACTCATGGCAGTTATTCCAGGTGGTTTAATAGTGCTTGATGTCCATCCACTGGTAGGAGCTGGAGAAAGAGTGCCAAAAGCATTTAGAAGACCATCTTTCAGTACCAAGTAAATAATTTTGAAATACAAGCAACCGGCAACATTTGCCTAACGTCCTTGTCCAGTCTATACCTGCCTCATTAAATGAACAAATTAAAACCCACTTATTTTTCCTTCATCCCCCACCAAATAAGTACTACCTACTTGATGAAATGTCTGTGAAATAACACAGGATGGTTTTCACTAACTTGTAGTGGACAAATTTCAACATACTAAAGAAGTTAAGCGAAAGAATATACAACCTGTGAAGGGATAATTTTGCTTTAGAACAAAAGCTGAAGCCAAGAACATCAGTGTATGAACATAGACAGGGGAATATGACATACCCACTCAAAACATTTTACAGTGAGTGCAATAGATCATACGTCACCGCTAACAGATTAAACAAGAGTACACATTCAGTATAACATGTGCGGGAACTCAAAATGCAGTACTGTATAAGGAAAACCTATTTCTAAATCAAATTTAAACACTAGTCTAGATCATCAGATACTGCCAATCTGAAGCACTCCAAAGGCCGTGTTCACATCCTCTTTACAGAAGTTACGACACTGAAAAAAACACCTGACGCTTTCAGAAACGTGTCCATCCACAAACTTCCATTTGCGCTCAGGTTTTTAGAGTAGTAGACACAAGCTTTGATGGAGTACAGAAAATGCATTTACAAAAATGAAAGGCATAGATGATACTGTTGCCAGGGGTAATGAAGAAACAAACAGTCCTCTGCTTTTCTTTCTCCTCTATTGATATATGTACCTTGGTAACATACGAGCTACAGCTACACGAGTTTATGGGAGCAGTTATTTCTATCAAGTGGAGAGTTCTTTTTCAGTGACACTAAACCCCCCCCACATTTCCATAGCCCTTTGTTTGTAACCACAGGCAAGAGAATCTGTGAGTGTTTACTTGGTGTCCTGGCTTTAGTGCAGCCGTACTAAACCTTGTAAATCAAAAAGTGAAATAAAGATCCAAGTGGAAGCTCAGAGAGAAATAACCAAGCAATGAAAGAGACATCAGACGGCACACGATAATGCTTCTTCTGCAATGATGCAGCTCCCCAGTGCAAAGTCAGGGCATGGATATGTAGCTTTGCAAAAAAACAGTTTGTGGAGCTGTTAATCTTTGTGCGAGTCTTCCTCTCCCATCTTTCATATCATCTTCCAAGGAAAAGATGAAAAATTTATCATTACCTTCCTTAATGTAATGCTGATGAGCCTCTGCCATACAGAAAAGTTGCAAATACCTTTCAAGTAAAATATTGCATTCCCTACCCAGATGGAAATGGCATACTAATTCTCAGAGAAGATAAATTTAAGCAACAATAAATCCACATCCAATTCAACAGAAATGGCAACTTCCTACTATCTACAGAAGTAAGATAGCCACACACTGCACAATTGAATCAAACCAATCCAGTGAACTTCAGTTAACAACCCCCCCCACTCTAGTCACACGTATTTGTAAGCCAAGGCAACACAGCTGGAAGCGAAATTCTTTCTAACACCGAGACTTTTGTAGTATAATTATGCTTGGTGTTAATCCACTGGTATGGGCTCAATACCTACTTTTGCGTCTTCTTGCTCTGTATGAAGAAGCCATATAGTCATACACCGTTTTTTGTCTAACTGGCTGGTTCATCAAATCTTCTCGAATCAGGTCATTTCAAAACCTTTTCATTTGGATCCTTTTCGGTACATGAAGTAGCAAAAATTATACCAGTTCATCAATGGTTTTTGTTCTGTTTTGGTTTTTGCTTTTAATGGAAGACTATTGTTTATATTTAATATATAATTAATTAGTTTGTAATAGCTTACAAAAAATAACATCTTGATTTTAGAAACATTCAGCATTCCTGAGTAGAAAGTATTTAGGAATGAAAGCACTTGATCTTGAACATGTCACTTTACTACTGTAATTAATTTTAGATTACAAATGCCTGCTAAGCTGAAAACACAGGAACAGACAAAAATGGAAAAGGTGTCAGAAAGGCTTTGAAGACATGAACAAAAGTGGGCTTGATTAATAGCACTTTCCTCCTCTGTCATCACACGTGGCCTTCTAATTTTCAGGTCCCATTTCATGAGAAGACAAAAACACACTAAAACTAACTCTGTTTGAAGATTGCTTTTGCCATAAATCAAATTGCAGTGCAGCTTCTGGTATATTGCTAATTTCTGTTTGAGTTATCTGTTGAATCCCAAAGCCTATTCAGATACATCAGCTAGCTCTTGTTTGCACTAGGTAGTTAAAAACCATCCTTCTGCTTGCTTAAAAGGGAAAAAAAGTACAAATGCCACAATTATTCCCTTTTCTTCGGTCTTATTACAGCTTTCATTAATGCTGTTTTTATGAATGATGTTTTTCTGAACACTACTCAACTTTAAAGTTACTACTGGCCAGAAGCAGGATTTGTCTACGTAAACTTTCTCTCGAGAGTTGTTAGACAAATTGGTCATTTCTGAGTTATTCAAAGCATTAAAAAAGGAGAGAAGGAGATAGCTCATTAGTTTGGGAAATAACTTCAGTCTACTAATGATCCTATGTTAAAACAAAAAATCCTTTTAAGCAAACTATACGATACACCACACAAATTTGGACGGTGTTAAGCAAGAGCCGTGGCCTAAGCAAAACCAAGCTGGGCATAGAGCATTGATGACCAGCAGAGACAGATGGACCATTTCCACTGAAATCGGTGAGCTCAGGTTCAATGCCCAGACCTCCACCAGACACAGGACGCCCATGGAATCACAGCCACAAGGCAAACAGAATCAGGGGAATAACAAAGAAGCCCTAAGCCTTCAGACACTTCTATATTTGCCAGAATATTTTCAGATACTGGACAAAAACTAAGTTCTAAAAGGCTTTTCAACTGTCATTTGTAAATTTATGTCACTATTTGGTCTACTATGATGGGGACAATATCAAATTGATGTCCACAGATGCTGTCAGCAGCTGCAAACTAAGAAAAGGTTGCCTTTTGCTCAAAAATCCTTGAAAAGCAAGACCTGAAAGCATTTTATTTAATGCTCTCTTCTTCCATCTCTTGAGGCCAGTGCAAAGCCAGCAAGCTCCCTGCCCAAGCTCACAATTTGTCCCCACAGCATCCTCTCAAGGGGTATTTTTCTCTTTGCTGGTGCTCACATTAAGACCTCATTGGTCTTAGACACTACTATCCCCCTCTATTCCTGTTCTGAAGTGGGCTCAAGTTAATTTCTTTCTAAACCTTCTACAGTTGTTCTGCTAGGTATTTTTTCACCATGGATCATTCTCCCTTTCTCACCGTTTGATTTGCCTCAGCTTTATCTTCCTTCTTCCCATCTGAACACCCACCAGAGGCAGCTTTTATTGCCCACTTGTGTCTTTCCATAGGCCACAAACATGCCTTTAACACTCCAGTAATTTTAGTAAAGGTTCACTACTTCCACTGCAACCCACAGAGCATATTTTTGTTGGTGGTGTTTTGTTTTGTTTTTAATTTAAAACCCCCCACTATTAGCTGCCTAGTTAAAATCTATATGAATTCTCTGGTTTTTTTTCTAACAATATCCCACCTCTCGTAGCTAGAGAATTTCAAATATAAGGTCTGTTTTCTTGTTTAGAATGCACATTGATGTTTCCCAACTAGCCCTTCTACTTAAACAGCAAGTTTAACACAACCTGGACTGGACAAGATGTTTCTCCTGCAAGCGGAGAGGAAGGGCACACTCTCAAGAGTTCCCACATTGTCCTCCTCCCTTTTTTCTTCTCTCTTCCCTTGGAAATCTTTCAGATTGAAACACAGCTACATGATTTAAGGTCCAGAAAACTTATGCAGGTGTTTTTTCTTTTAATGAGAAGCTTTTACCAGGGCACACCAGTAATAACAAGGTAGGTACAAGCTATTACGCTCAATCTAAGCAAAGACCTCTCAAATCTTGGCACGCGGTCTGACCTCTCCTGTGGTGCTTTGCTTTTCACATTTCACATACACGATTTTGGATCCCATCAGCAGCTCTGATCTCTAAGAGCGCTGGGGAGGTGTCCTGGTACCAAAGATCTGGCAAGGTTCACGCACATTTTTAATTGCAAATGATGACCGTGCGGGGAAGGAAAAGGAAAAAACTCCAGCTGCCTCATGACACAATCTCACCACGTATTTTCTGGGTGCCACTTTCATTGCTTGAAATGGAACAGAGCACAGCAACTTTTGTGGGTGCTCTGAAGAATTATAAATCGAAATAAGTAAATACTATAAATAAATAAAATCATTTATATACACCCCATCATAAGCTATTCTACCTTGGGTTCTCCACAAGCTGAGAAAAGATCTCTGTGGCCGAATTTGGGAGTTTTGCAGGCTTCACTTCACCTTCGCTCTCTTTTAATGAAACCTTCTAAAGCACTGGTGATTTGTACTTGTACATTGTAACAGCTCTTTGTCATTTGCTTTTCTAAAACAGAAAACACACTGTACCCAACTATTAGCTCTCTACTTTAATTAGGTTTAAGTTTAGCAAACCTTCAGTGTTTGCTTTCACTAAACTCCTTGGTATGGCTAGTTTAATATTTAACAAAGTTTTAGGCAAGGTAAAGAAGTGGCTTTTTTTTCTTTTTCAAAAAATCACAGTGTGACTTTGCCCTCCTTAGACTAACAATAGGCTGTTCCATCGCTGAGCACATGGATAACTGCAAACATGGGCAAAAGGTTTGAAAGACAAAGGGAGAAAAGCGGATACGCAGCGGTGCCAAAGTCACTTTGACAGAGGTTCTCCGGTGCGTAGCAACAATACAACAGCCTGAACTGTTTAACACTCACTTAAACATAACATCAGACTTCATGTAATATCTATAAATAACAATGCTACTTTAAGCAGTGGGAGTGCCAGAACTTAATTTTAAAGCATTCTAACTCAGTGATTTATACGCTGCTATCAAACTACTGTATTATAAATGGAAAATATAGAGCTTCATATGTCCAATT